GCATGGGCCACCTGTGTCTTCCCCGGCTAAAGCCTGTAAGCAAATTCTAATAAGGAGTCGGTGATCAAGGGTCCTTGCACCCACTCACCATTGCCGGGGATGTCACTGCTCTCATGCCATCCTTCCAAAGTGTTCCTCAGTGAAGCATGATCTCGAGTGGCCACATCGCCTCTCGGGAATGAATCTATCTACGGTCCAAATGTATCCCCTTAAGGGTTATTGTACAAGTAATAAAATGTACCCATAGTGTAGTGCATTTGATGTCCGCCTAATATGTAGTCCAAACAGTATTGTAATGCTTTGGCACTATTAGAGTTACTGTTTGAGCCCCCACTTTGAGTAGTTTTGTGTAGACGTCTTCCACCTTTGTGGAGAATGATGTAATTGGTACTCTTTCCACCTATAGCATAGTCACACCTAATGTTGTGTGTTGAATTTGTGTGTTAATTGTTTGAGTCCAACTCCATCAATCGTTTTTCCAATAAGATGGTACTAATTTATTGCCCTAAAATAGGCATCATTTAGTGCCAACCAACACTCTAAGTTCCTTTACAACTCCATATTTTCCCAACACTTAGTGTACCAAGTAGGTCGGGTTTTTTACCAAGATGCTACAAAATGTGTTGCATATCTTTGCTTGCCATGTTTCCTAAGATTTTGCATACCAAACACATCGCCTACAACGAAGCGTTGGCAGCAATGGCCATGCCATATTTTGTTTTCCCCTTTTTGAGGATTTGAACTACAAAATCTCAAAATGTCCTAGTTGCCAACATAAATCGTAGGATTCTTATTGCATGCTTCTTGATTACATGGGCAGCTAGGGCTTCCCATATGGTAGCAGGCGCATTACAAGGATATCAGATTATTGCACCCACTAGAGGAGGGATTAGGAAGGCAAAGATGGTGATGGCGAGTTCTTCTTCATCTAGGCACATGTTGAGCGTATCCACTTCTTCCTTCCCATGAGTGTACTCCACCTTCTTGTTGATGTCTTCTTAGGTGCTCTATGGCTTGCAACCCTTACGCTAGGCTTCTTCTTCAATTGTTGGAACTGGTTAAAACTTCATGTCTTTATGTGGGTGATTAGTGTTGATGGTAGGGTGTCTTGCGGTGATCGAAGAGGCAGCCGAGGGGCGTTTATAGGAGCTTGATGGCAGGCCAAGGGATCGGGTGCGTGCCATCAAGCGGCGCCACTAATCGGCATCATTTTGAAGGGCGGCTTCATGGAGGGACAACAACACCATCCTTTTTAGGCACGGAGGTCATGACTCAAGCGCCACATAGCAGTCTTTGTGGAATGCTGAAGGTACAACTGTGTGGTGCATAGAGGACGGCGCCATTGGCGGCCTTGTGGGGACAAAGGTGATGGCTCGGCGGCGTCGTGGGCGGTGGTGGCGTGGTGTTGTGTGGAGAGGGACATTGGCGTCTCTGCAGAGGCGATGACACTAGTGTGTGGGGAAGGATCGTGGATGCATGGATAACAAGCTGCAGGCGCGGCATCCACGGCTTTCATATGCCACCATCTATGCACTTTAGGCGGCTTTATATCTTTGTGGCTTAGTGCGCCGCGTCCGCCGTAATTCATGCCTATCATGGACCACGTCTTTCTACTCTTTTTCTGCGGCTTTGGTGGGTCCTTCGCTCTGCACCCATGCGGACCCCTTTTCTTGGGTCGGGCAAACCCATTGCTAGGCCCCACCTATCAACTTTTTTCGACCACGCTTCCATGACACATGGTGCACCCCACTTTTTCGCTATAGCCCCACTATAGGCGGTGAAGCTTCTCGGAGAAGCCTTGCCCTAGCCCTCTACAAAATGAGAACCACCCACTACCTTTCCCAAGCATCCCCCTCATTGAACCACCTCACCAAAGTTCCTTCCTCCTTGACCAAAGCCCATGGCCTCATCGAAGCCACTTGTGCCCTTGCCTTCAACTCCACAAACCCTCCTAGCCAACCCGCAGGATGGCTGAAGGAGTCTGGACTAGCAACACCTGCCAAGGCATAAAGGGATTTCCCAAGATTCTGTATACCACCACGCAGTGGCTGGGAATCCGAGAGGTCCCCGTGTATGAAGGTCGTGAGTTCATAGAGCATGACCTTTGGCGGTGTGAGGTCATCGTCTACATCGGGAAAAGTGAGAACTCCACCAAAGCATTGATGGGCTGGAGCACGACCACCATTGGTTTCGTTTCCACGATGCCTATCAAGCGGTAGCTCATAAAGCTCTGCGACTCCTATGCCAAATCTATGCGGGACCCCTCGCCCATACCCCATGAGGTTCTTTCCGCCCGGACAAGGACACTCCATTACGGAGGACACGCCTAGAGGCTCTGCAAGGACGCCCTCTGCAAGCAATCGACCCTCTTTGTGGTGTCCCTAGCCACATATCATTGGCCTTGGATGAGCACCATGAGAAGCGGCCTCTGAGTTGAGGAAGTGCGTCGCTCGAGCCGAAGGGGCGGAGGCCTTCATCAGAAGCTCCATGTGAGCCTTGCCATGGCTCATGGCCAAAAGCTTGACCCGCCGCCAAAGCCGTGAGACTATCACTGGCTGAAGCCATGTGGGAAGGGGAACTTGCTTCATGGTGCTAAGAGAAGCTTACCTTGTCACTCGAGACCAACGGAGGATATACGCCTTAGGCGGGCAACACCCCTCGATTCCGAGGGGATACCCATCTATCCGTGGGAGAGGAGAGAGCGGTGTGGCGGCGCCTCAAGCACCACCACCCACTCCCATAGAGGCCTCTGAGTGGAGTCTCCCCTTCCATGCACACAGCCCAAGCACGCCAGAGAATTTCAAGAGAAGCGGTAGTGAAGCCATCTGTCTCGAGGAAGTAGATTAGTTGCTCCCCTAGAGTTGTATCTTTTACATTTCTTTGTGTTGTTGAGTTTTAGCGATGTCGTATCCTGCTGTTATGTCGTCCTGCTTTGTATTCTGCAATTGTGCCCTTGAATGAACTACTCCCCTTGTGTTGGTGTGCCTTTGTGTTTTTTTAAAAAAAAAGCCACATTCAAAACAAACCAATGCTAACTACCTGTGAACATACAAAAGAAATGGAATCCCAAGTCCATTGTAGTTGTTGCTCAAAAGAAATAAAGTGCATAACAAATTATCGTAAAAACATAAAAATGGTAAGCACGTATTTGGTGTGAAATAAATCTACAATGACAGTAATAAAGACATATTTCTTAAGTTGGTCACCCGCAGCGAAGCGCGGGCAAAAGTGGCTAGTTCATATTTATGGGACAACTGATATTGGGACACTGCTATCAATCAGCCACATGTAGGTTAGTTGTTCGTTTCATTCCCTTGACGCTCAAACAATGATGCTTTAAGGTTAGATTTTGAGAAAGAACTACTAATCCTTAACTTTTGAGGAATCCTTCATCAATGGTTGTGAATATTTGACTTTATCTAAGAGCTCTTTTCAGTACCACCTTGCTTCTGTGGTACATGGTCTTTTAGTAATGATCAAATTGTTCCATTTTTAAGCTCACCGGTCCGGTAGGATGAAAATAGCAAGATAATTTAGTTGATCGTCATCCATGTATCATTCTCGGTGCATTTAATTTATCCCTTTTAGGTTTCCAAATTATGCGGCTTATCATCACTTGTTTGACTGTTTAGCTGTCAGAATGCTTAGACATACATGTATGTGTCTTTTTTCCCTTTCCTACTGGCTACTACGGTGTAACTGATCCAAAATAAATTATGGCATAAATGGAGGAAGTAATTAATAAATTAAAGACCCTTCTCAAGTTAATTTGTTGGAAAAAATCAATTATATAACGCTATAGTATAATTGCTTCATTTAAAAGTATATATGTAGACCCTATAAGTAGCTGATTTTTTCTTTTAAATTAAACCATTATACCGTCACTACATCACTACTGAGATGATGATGCTCGATCTAATGAAGTCTCGTGGATTTATGCTATGTAATCATGTTTGATTTTCCATCACAATTGTCATATTACTATACATCCTCCAATCTCATTTTTTTCTTACATTAATAGGTTATCAATTATTTTCACAATTATAGATACGTGTGTGTCACACGTGCATGTCAACTAATTGAGTTCTATAGGATCTCATTTATATTCTATCATATCACATCACAATGTGTGATTTGTGATGTAGATAATATCATATGTAATATTGAGTTTCAGTGTTTTATATCTATATATCAGGAAACTTTTTTTATACATGTTTAATATTCTGACGAATTTGCGGGTATGTGTATGGATATTTTTGGAGCATCTACGGGTGATGGGTGTGGATATAGTTTTCGAGCACAGGCGGATTGTGGCTGTGTGTTTGAGATTTTATAGCTGGCGCCTGGCAGATGTGCTTTTTGCATAGTCTTTTACCTGTGTGCTATTATAAAAGTTCATAATTACTCATGAGTCATTAAAAAGTTTGAACAGTCATATGAGCCACTGGTCGGAATTTGTTTTTGTCCTCCACGTCATTCCGTCCACATTCGCTGCTAACGGTGACTAACGGAGCTGCGAAAAGACATAACGCCCCCCGGCCAGAGAAACGAGTCGAAATTTCGTTTTCCTCGTGTGCCACTCTCCGGCTGACTGTTGTGGCGCCAAAACATGCCCCTGTCTGGCTGACTGGCTCCTATATAGGCACTAGGATATTAACACTGGGATCGTAGCACTATTTGCTTGAATATTGAAAACATTCAGCAAGACAGATTCCACGTGCTAGGCGTATTCAAAGGTTCAGTACTCACTAATATAAATATAACTCATAGAACATGTGTACTTGAATCAACATAAGAAACAAACAGCTTTTGCAGGCATTCTAGAACAAGTTGTGGGCGTCAGGAGCGATTCCCTCACTGCTAGAGCTATGGGCTGCCATGGGGGCCGGCGCTGTAGACTGTTCCATGCAATTTAATTGATGCATCGAATCCATTTGATCAGCTATTCAGCAGCCCAGGATTGCGGCAGCCGGCAAGCCATTCTCGTCCGCTTCGCTTCCTCAGAACGGCATGATGTGGGTGGTCTTGGAGTCGTAGCCGGCGAGGCAGCTCTTGGCGTTCACCCTGTATATCTTGAGCAGCGCCAGCGCCATCTGCCTCGCCGCCGCCGAGCACCCGCTATGCATCAGCAGGAGCAGCATCGTGATCCCGCCCTCGGCCACCGCAGCCGCGTCCGCCGCCCGGCGGTCCCAGTACCGGTGGCAGACCGCCCAGAGCACGGCCACGGCGGCCTCGGCGCCGTCGCGCCCGGCCTTCATCATCGTGCCCACCACCGCGGGAATGGCGTCCTCCGCGTCGCCGCACAGCGCGGCGCGGCCCTCAGGCTCAGCCCACGGCGGACTCGAGGACGCAGAGCACCTTTGCGGACGCACCGGGAGCAGCCGTCCTTGGACGCTGTGGCGCGCATGGACCAGGAGCGCATGGCGTTCCTCTCCTCGCACGCACGTCGCGGCGCGAGATTTTTTTTACACTTTTTTAAACTAATTTTAAATCTAATATTGTTTAATTTTTTTTCAAAACTAACACTTTTGGCCGCGTCTATTTCTCTAGCGCGGCGAAACACCTGGGATGACGTGACGACGACCGGGACGCTGACCGGTAACGTGACAGGGTCTGCCGTGCCACCGATCTTGGCGCGACAGAGCCGTGCCCTGATCGGTGGCGCGATAGAGCTGGATAAAAGGGCCGCGGCCCAGTCCCGCCCGCCTGCCTGCCGCGCCTTCGCCTGCCTGGCCGCCTGTCCGTCGCGCCTTCGCGCCCGCCGCGCTGGCCTACCGCCCCGCCTGCCTGTCCGCCACTCCAAAGTGTCGTCGCCGTCCAGCCCTCTGTTGCCGCCTCCCTTCCTCCCTTCCCTTCTATTCCTTGGCCGCCTCCCTCTCTCCTTGGTCTCGTTCAAAGTAATGACGTACTTTTTATTTTCGTTTGAATGCTGTATTGAAATATTATGAATGAAAGTTAAGGATAGGAGAAAAATTATATTTGGGAACTATGGGCTATGGTGATGGCATACCATGAACAGATACTGACATGGCATCAACCAGTGTGGGCATAGCATGTTTATCTTCCTAGTCACCATATGAATCGTCCGAATCACTGCTAACTACATCACCGATCTTGTCCTCCTCCTCCTCTTCGAGTTCGAACTCGTTCACATCGAAATCATTGTTTATACAGCCTACTTGACTTGAAATGAAACTGTTTCTGCGTCAACTGCCCGTCCAAATCTATGTTAGCCTGAGCTGCTTCCCCTTCGATCCCCAATTCTTGCTCATTACTTCCAACACTGTCAATGGACGGCCCATCCTAGACACATTGCATTCTGTACCTATTCTCCACCACCACCTTAGGCATAGGTATATTGAAATTTTGGAGTACCCTAATGTAGCGGGACCAGTGAGCAGGGGCGCGCAAGGGCATGAGGACATAGTGTGTCCTAGTCTTTCTAGTATCAAATCTCCCATTCAGTGTAAAATCACCGTCAAACTTTATATTCAAACGGGCACAAATGTCGTTGAAGGTAGGAGGTTCATCGAACCATTCCAATTCTTCTTTCATATCCTCAAACATACCATTTTCTCTCCTAACATTTTCTCCGTAAAAAATTCTAACACAACAATCCATCTACGAAACCATTTCAAGAAACTTCATCAATTCATCAAAATCGTCGTACGTAATATCCATAATAATATTAATACCTATTATAACTATAACTATACTAACTAATCTAATATTAACATCTATTCAAGGCTAACTACAACAACTAATGTATAACTAGACTCACTAACTATACTAACTAACTTTACTATCTATACTAACTTACTATATTGCCTATACTAATTAAACAAACTAACTTTACTAACTATACTAACTATACTTTACTAATTATACTAACTTTATTTATTTTACTTACTATACTAACAATGTCGATTCAATCAACAAATACACTAGGGGAGTATCTCATGAAGCAGCGGCGCTCGTCTCGCGGTGCGGCGGCTAGACCGGGCCGGAGGCGCGTCTACCGCTGCCTCTCGGCGGGCGGCATGAATCGGCCCTCTGAATGAGGGGCGTGGCGGCGCGGATGGCGGCTGGCGCTGGCGGCAAGCGCCGCCGCGGCGTGGCTGTGAGGGCGCATTGGGACGGAGTGAGCGGTGGCGTGTTGGCAAGCGGTGCGTGTGGTAGCAGTGGAGGCGCGCTGACGCGACGCGGGCGGCGGCGGCAGCGCAAGCGCGGCAAGCGAGCGCGGCAAGCGTGGCGTAAAGCGGCGCCCGCTTGGCGGCGCAGCAACGCAGACGCGGATCGGGTGGTTTCTTGGCGGCTTTGCGCGTCCACGGATCGGTAGCGCGTCATCGCCGCGCCAAGATCGGTGGCGCGGTAAACCCTGCCACGTCACCGGTCAGTACCCCGGTCATCGCGCACGTCAACCCTCTCGCCGCGCCACCATGCATAGCGCGGCACAGGCTTTTCGCCGCGCCATGAAAATAGGCGCGGCCAAAAGTGTTAGTTTTGAAAAAGAAATTAAACAGTGTTAGATTTAAAATTAGTTTACAAAAAGTGTTAAAAATAAAAAAATTCCGCCAGGCGTCCAGGGCCAGGCCCCAGGCGCGGCCGTTCCTTCGTGCGTTTCTGCGTTGGCATGCCCACGCGGCCGTTCCTGCTTGTGTCCTACACCGGCAGCGACCTCTCCTGGATCAAGTGCCGCCACCACGACGCCACGGCAGTGTCGACCTCGGCGTCGACGAGGCACGCGTGAAGGAGGCAGCCTCGTCCCTAGCGGCGGCGGCGCGGGCGAGGAGGCGACGCTCGGCCTCCATCCAAGTGGCGCGGTGGCCCACGACGGCGCGGGCGTCCTGGCAACGGCGTGGGAGTTGCCGCAGGTCGTCCTCGGGAGACCGGCCACCACGGGCGAGCTCGGCCCGGATTGCGCGGTGCAGAACATGCATAGGATAGGATCAGGGGGAGAAGAGCATTTTGGATATTTTGACCGATCGATTCCACATGTCAGGGCTTTGAATCTGTCAAAACCAAACAGAATGCAAATGAGAAATGGTGTGAAAGGGAAAAAAAAAAGGTTACGGCATCTGTGAGCGCTCGAACTTTTATAATGACTCGTATGTCTATGGATATTTTTGAGCATGTACGGGTGATGGGTGCGGATATAGTTTTGGAGCACAGGCGGATTGTGACTGTGTGTTTGAGATTTTATAGCCGGCGCGGATGTGCTTTTTTTACATACCCTGCCACGGCGCCACACCAGTCTCGCCAGCCGCGTCGATTCCTGCGCGTTTCTCAGTTTCTCTCCACCGCGTGGCCTACGCCGCGGCGTCAACGAGTACAACACGGGCCGGCCCCCTCTCCCTCCGCGTTAACCCGATGCCATTAGCTATTATCTTAATTAATTAATTAATAAAATAATTATATACACGAACCACCCGTCCAGTCGGCCACCCCGTTGAATTCAACGCGACCAAATATCCGATTAACCCCTCTCCTCCCGGGGAAAGGAAAAAATCTGCGTCCACCGCCCCCCGGAAGGAAATAGGCGGACGGATAGCCCACAGAACGCACGCGCTCCCCTTTCTCTCTCTATACTCCCTTCCCCCTCCTTCCCCTACCTATTCGCCGCCCCTCTCTCTCTCCTGCCCCTCCCCCCGCCGCCGCCGCCCCACGGCCCACCCCGCCGACGCGCCACCTCCGTCTTTCTCTCTCTTCCCCGCCGACGCGGGGCGGCGGATCGCCGGATCCGCGCGGGGAAGGGAGATCTGGATTGGATGGTCCTCTCCGGCCGCGCCTAGGCCGGCCTGATCTGATCCGACCCGTCCCGTCCCGTCCCGGCGGTGCAGTCCGGGAAGGTCCTGTGGGGGGATTTCGGACTCGGGCGCTCGAGTCTCCGCGGCGAGGGGGGTTTCGGGCCCGGGCAGTGTCCGGATCCGTGTGGCAGGCGGTTGGTTACCTTTGCGTAATCCTAGTCGGAGTCACCGTGCTCAGCAGCAGATATAAGGGATCGGTCGGGCGCTCCAGATTGAGCCCGGGGAGTGGTCGTGTCGCGCCCGTTCTCCGCGTGAAAGTCCGTGATTTTGTGGCGGCGCGGCTGCGAGTTGCCGTGATTTCTCGGGGTTTCCGGCGGCCGATCCGCTCTAGTTACCCTATCCTGTTCCTTCAGGGCGGCGGCCTCGTGTTGGGGGCTCGTCGTTTGTTTGCCGTGCCGCGTCTTCCGAGGTGGATTTGATTTAGTGTGTGTTCTTGTGCCGTTGGTTCCATGGCCAGCGGCTCTGATCCCCCGAAACAGTACGGAATAACCAAGCCCTTGTCGTTGCTCGGGCCGGTGGAGGCCGACCTCCAGAGGACGGCGGATCTAGAGAAGGTTTTGAATTGACTTATAGTTTCATGTTACCAGTATTGTCTCAATTCTTTGCCTGACTGATATTGTACTATCTAATTGCAGCTTTTCTGTTCCTTGCCGGACTGATATTGTACTGTGTAATTACAGTTTTTCTGTTGTTGATTTGCAGTTTTTGGTCGAGGCGGGTCTCTATGAGAGCCCTGACGAATCTGCTAGGCGGGAGGAGGTGCTGGGCAAGCTTGACCAGGTAGCTACTCTTGTTGCCACACGTGTTCTTATGCTCAACACAGCATTATCCTTCCCTAAGCATGCTCTTTTGGCATTTGCAGATTGTAAAAGACTGGGTTAAGCAATTGACTAGTCAGAGAGGATATACTGATCAAATGGTTGAAGAGGCAAATGCTGTACTCTTCACCTTTGGCTCATACCGTCTTGGGGTAATTTCTACCACTTCCCTTTTACTAGTTGCGCCTGTTTTGCTCTGCCACCCGTCTTTTATTCATTCATTAGTGGACTCGTGATGTACTGATGTGTACAGTTTAGATAGTCTTTGTACTTGTGTGTGTGTGTATATATATATATATATATATATATAGTTTTGATGCTCATTTAACTGCGTTCGTGTCCTATTAAAATACAACAATGGAATTTCTTGTGCTTGAGGACTAGTTGCAAAGTTACAACTGATATGGAAACAGTCTAAAATATCGGGAAGGTGGATCTATGTGGTGCAGGAGTGGTTGCATTTATCCAGACCTGCTTTTTTGAGAACACAATTTAACGAGATAAGAGTCACAGTTTTTTTAAAGTAAATTTACTGACCAGTATACAACTTAACATGAAGTTCTGCAACTTGCCATGCTACCTTGTGATCTTAAGCATGTGCTGGTTGAGAACAATTTTGAGTTTCTGTCTTTCTGA